ATCGTTACTTTAATAAGACTTTAATATGATGAGATGATCTTCAAAATCAACCAATCATAATAAAGCCCGCTATGCTGGCGCGAGTTAGAATTTGTTTATCGATAAACTTGTAAATAAATAGCGTATACGCTGTCAGAATTGCAAAGGTACTATTTTCGTGTGGCCACCACTCCAATAGCATCTTTGTTCGTTACAATGATCATATAAGAATATAATTTTCATCACCCCCCACGCGTCCAGGGGAAACTCCATAGGAGGAGTCTCCACCTTACTAGCAGGCTAATGGGGTGAGTATACTATATTCTTATTACCAACTCTGCACCTTCATCATTCCATATCATTAAGCATCTTTCTATACAAAAAACACTAACCTGTTGAGGAATTTTAATAAGTCTTTTATATTGTTGCGAGTTAATTGAGAATTTTTTCGCAGTGGTTTCAACGGCTTGTTCGATTGAGTCTTTTAATATATCTTGAGAAGCCCATGGATCTTCTGCCATTGCTTTATATACCACTGGTACAACGGAAATTTGTTTTAAAGGAGAGCTAACAAGAAATTCACAAAGCGTTTCATATAATTCGTTTGACATGGTTATGTAATGTAACTAGTGAAATCACTAAAAGCGACAATTAATAATAAATTCGAGATACTGCCTTTTTATATTTTTTTTTCTTTCATCTCTTCACTGAAACTCAAAAATGCTAGAAAGGTTAGATAGAAGCAAAAACATGTGCTCTTACAACAAAAAATTTCTACGATAGAAGTTGAGGCATGTATTTCCACGCAGAGAAATTTCTATCGATAATGCAAAGAATTCTATAAATTATGTAAGTGTATGCATCACGAGTTATAGAGCCATGTAAGGTTAAAATCGTTAAAAAATAAGACTTGATAGTACATGCGCATTTAGGCCAGATAAGGTTTCGGTCCGGAGTTGGCTCTCCACAAAATAAAATTCAGAACATATGTGGCATGAGTTAATTGACTGATTTTGGTTAGGGTACTAATTTCAGAAAAATGGATTTCTGCTTGTGACCCGTCTCACAAATAAGTTATGCGTGATAAACCTTGCAAGGTAATACAGATAAATTTTACATGCGTGTTAAAATTTTTTTTAAAGCTACAATTAGGTCTACGACAAATATGTAAACCCAGGTTTATCTAGGGCTGTCATTTCTAGCTTCATATTGATAACAACCTCTGACATAAAGATAAATCATTCTATTAGTATTCCAATTTTGATAAATTAAAAATTTTGGATTATTTCTTAAACTGGATAACGGATTAGTGCATATTGTTACTGGCAAAACCAGAATTCAAGAATCATGCGGAACGATGCACGTTTGACCTACGAATCGTTACGCAAAGAGCCGTTACACTGCGATGCCCCGGGACCCACGATTTCCACCCGACGATCATATGCGAGTAAACCCGTTAGAACCAGGCCCTCTGTATGGAAGCATTAAGCGATGATCCTATGAAAGCAAAGCCCCCTCCAACGATCCCATTGAAGAATAAGACGCTTACCTGATTCGGTTGACAGCTGTCAAGGTAATATTACCTTGTCGGGTAAGGTGTGTGGCCGTGAAAGAGAAAAGCACATGGTTCGATGGAAGAATCAATGAGTGAATCAAAGGAATCACGGGTAAAGAACGATGACGGCGAAGAAGCCTTCATTCGACTTACCTTCCAATTGCCTTCTTTTTCTATTCCGTTGGAACTTCAATGAGAATGGCTGTGAGTAAGGGTTGGGAATTAGACCAGAAAGGGTCAAATGGCTTGAATTCAATGACGGTTCAATGACAGGAGATGGGAAAACCGTTCGATCTTGTTCTTTTTCTTGCCCTGAAAATAGTTATAAATAGAAGGTCGAATTTCTCTTGTAAAAGATTCGATTCAGTGTGTACTATCTGCCCTACATATAAAGTTATTAATAAAGCCCTCAAGTAAAACCAAATCAAACGCTCATTAAAAACTGTATCGCATAATGATACTTAGTAGACGCCTTGGACCCGTGCCAAATCGTTATCCGCCTCACCTCTCTACTAAGTATTGTTATTAGTGGTCTTGTTCATTTCACCCAACGATCGATCATCGTTCTTCTTTGTTTGTGGGTGTGTGTGTTGGTTACTTACCCGCTAACAATATCTATTACAGCTGCAAATTACTCTTGTACTTGGTAAGTTACTGATAGGTTTAAACTCAACATAATTTTATAGTGCCTTAAAATTTAACTGATTCGAAAATTAATTAAAGAACTTGAAATCATGGTTATAGCACCTGAACAAGTAGAATGCCTTCAAGAAATCCTTAGAAATTAAAAGATTTTAGCTTCTTGAAATTCAGTCTATTAGTTTAGATTAATAAAAAAAAAATCCAACCACCCGACCGAAATTTCTCAAGTAATAAAAATACATATTATCTTTGATTGATATCATATTTATACTTGGAAATAAACTACCAGCAGTAATTATAAAAAAAAATTATTAACGAAAAAACATCTAGTATATAATAGTAGTTTATAAAAATAACCAAAATATTTACGCTTGTATTTTCTAATTAACCTAATAAAACTATCGTGTGCTTAATTATATATTATTATATTGACCCGGACGATATGCATAATTTACTGGGTGTTATGTTTCGTTCTCGTGTATCTATTTATATTATTTAAATGACTAAGATTAGATTAAGTAATGTTAATGACACCATCGATAAAAGAAGTATTTTTCATTGAAAATAAAGAGACAATATTGTAAACATTGCGAAATGAATCTAGTTGTTGATTCGTCTAATAGTGTTCTACGTACACATTGTGAAAGATATCATGAAGATTTACTTAGAAAGTATCTATCAATGAATCAACAGAAAATTGTTCCTAGATCAAAACATCCTATTGTGTTGGAGAAAGCTTTACCAACAATTAGAAAAGAGCTCTTTTATGAAAAAGATAAACGTGTATATTGTAATATATGTGATACGAGTTATGTAGATTATACATCACCAGCTGCTCTACGAAATCATTATAATATGAATAATAAACAAGAACTTTATTATTTTGAAATCAATAATTTAAATAATGAATTCGATATAAAACCTGTTGATAATGATACAATGTCAATTACAAGTAATATTTCTATTAATTCCGTATCAAGTGATGTTACTTTAACTAATAACTCAGTAAAAAATATTATCGATGAATTCGTGAATCAAAAAAATATAGTAGTTTGTTTGTGAGTTTTTCGAAAAAAACAAAATATTTAGCTTAACGGATCATATCTCTAATTTTTTGAAAAATAGTTTTTTCTGTTGCGATTCTAATCTTATCAGTACCAATATTTTTTACTAAACACCATGCTTGTGATGTTAAAGAACTATCATGATGAACTATTTTGTTACTATCATAAACAATAATACCAAAAGAACCATCAGCCATATTAATAGCAGAATTCAATTTGGTAACAACATTTATACCTAATGGAGATTCTTGACTTTTGCATTGGATTAAAATAACCTTTTTCTTATAAAATACAATAATATCAATACCATAATCTCCACTACCACCAACAACATTACATGGAATCCCGTTATCTCTTAAAACTTTACTAATTACATTTTCGAAATCTTTTCCAATCTTAACATTTGAAGTTCCGTAATTTTTAGGTTGAACTGATTTTTCATTCGATTTCTTAAGCTCATTGAGTTCGTTGGTTAATTCTTTGATTTTTTGGGTTAATTCTTCGATTTTTTGGCGTAAATAGTCACGGTGTTATTAGCCTTTACTTTCTTAGTATTATTTTTTCTTGAAGGATTCGAACTTAGAAATTCTTGTGATTCTTGATTAGCAACATGAGTTTCATTATCATTTATTGATAATGAAAAATTAAGTTGAACATTATTTTGTACTAACGAAGAATTATCACAATGAACACAATATAACGTGTTATATTTCTTAAAATCAGATTCAGAAATATTTTCGCGACAACGTAAACAAGAGAGACTTCCTCCCTTTCGTTGTACGTTTGAGGTAGACATGATACTAGTGTTTCGATCCTAAATCCGACTATCTAAATTGGTTCTTAAATTCAGATAAATTTAAATATTAAGATTAGAGATGTTTATTCGGATTGGTTAACGAACTTAAATAACGGATCTAAGGATATGCCCAAAAGCTGACTTTATATAAATTTGATGCGGATTCAATCCGGATTATCGCTGTTTTCGAAATGGTTGAAAATGTCAAATAAAATTTTTTTTTGGTGAACACACGAATACACGAACACTTGATTACCTTAGCACGTTCCGATGCCCGATTTACATAATTGTTGAAACAAATAATCATGCGGCATGATTATTGTTTCAACAATTACGTAAATCGGGCATCGGTCTTCAATCAACGTGCTAAGGTAATCAAGTGTTCGTGTATTCGTGTGTTCACCAAAAAAAAAATTTATTTGACTTTCGAAAACGGCGATAAATAGAATCCGGATTGCCTGTCAAAAATAACAGGGGTGAACGTTCCAATTATGGAAATGACGATCCGATTGTTACACAATTATTAAAGAAAATTTTTTATACGT